GCTAATGTTCCTCTTTCTCTCTCTGATCGGTGCGTCTCTGGAGCAGGTGGAGTACTGATTTAAGGAATGAGGGATTTTTTTCTCTTTGTCTTTACAAAGTTCAACTTTTTTCATTTTTGTATTCTTCTCCTCTTCTTTGCCCGATCTCCGTTTTTCGCTGCAGGGTTCCTGGGGTTCTGGGAAGGACCAGTGCAGCCGAGACCTCCTGGTCTCCTCCATCTTTGCTGCCGCCAGCCGCAAAAGGGGGAGGTCAAGGGAGAAACCGCAGCCTAGCAGCTCTGACGACGATCTGGACGCGGTCTTCTCCAGAAAGGAGGTTCCTTCGGGGCAAAAGCCGAACCACCACCCGCTGCAGGGCGACAAACTGAGAGCCGAGGAGAGGAAGGAGAATGGCAGAACCATCCACAGAAACTTGCTATTCCAGAAAGAGAAGACTCCACCCCGGCGGCCCTCACCGTCGCCAATCATCGGCGACCAAACGGCGGCGCAGAGGAAGATTTCCCTGTCGGATCCACTGTCCCAGCTGGAGGAAAACACCTCTGACGTCGGCACCATGAGCTCCGGGGCGTCCGTCCCCAGATCAAGGCCCAAAAAGTGGACCGGTGGAGCCTTCCTGGACCTGTCGGCGTCGGCCGGAGCCGAGGTGAGCTCCATCACCTCCGACTACTCCACCACATCCTCCATCACCTTCCTGACCGGCGCCGAGTCCGGCGTGCTGAGTCCGGAGCTGCAGGGCGGGGAGGAGGCCGACGACGAGCGCAGCGAGCTCATCAGCGAAGGCCGACCCATGGAGACGGACAGCGAAGGCGAGTTCCCGGTGTTCGCGCCGGGAGGCGGCAGCGGCCAGTCCACGCCTCGTCCCACACAGAGTCAGGAGAAACCCAACGCCGGTGCACAGAAACAGGAAGCACGCCGCCTTTTCCCCACACACCGCATGATCGAGTGCGACACTCTGTCCAGACGGTGGTCGCTGCGGCATAAAACCGACAGCGACTCCTCGGCGGAGGGCGCGGCGGGTACGGAGGGGAGAGCCGAGTCTTCCAGCCGGTTGTCTCGAGTCTTGGAGGTGATGAAGAAAGGCCGGTCATCGAGCAGCATCAGCTCGTCTTCACGCAGCGAGTCGGAGCGGGGCGAACCGGCCTGGCACCTGAAAATCACAGAGCGGCTGAGGTTCAGGATCCGATCGTCCGCCGACGACATGTTCGCCACGAAGAGCCAGACGCCCGACGCTCGGAGCAAGAAGAAGAACATCCGGCGGAGGCACACCATGGGCGGGCAGAGAGACTTCGCGGACCTGGCGGTCATTAACGACTGGCGGGAGCAGGGCGGCGTCGACCAGACGGCCGACCTGTCGGCGCTGGGCCGTCTCAAACCCAGGTGCTCCTCTCAGGACCTTTCCTTCCGGGACTGGATTACCCACGAGCGGCTCTGCGGACCCGAACCGAGCGCGGCGGTAGCGCCCAAAGCTGAGCCGGAGGACGATCATCCCGATGCTCCGGAAAAACCTCCGCTGGCGACCGCGGAACAGGTTAACGGCGGCGGGATGCGGGACACAAATAAAACCGCGCCGACATCAGACGCTCACCCGCACAAACTGTCCGGAGCGCAGGTGACCCGCTCACGGTTTTACCAGTACCTGTAGACGGACGGACCCGACCAGAGTGAGTTCAGGCGTAAATGTGTGTATTTTAGCACAATATTTTTATACTAAAATATACTTTCTGTATCTAATGTACATACTGTGTATAAGCTCTGATGATTGTTACTAAACTAATAAAGATGATGAAGTTCTCTGCCATACTGGAACCGAGACGGAAAGGAATCGTGAACTTTCTCCTGCAGAACCGACCCGAGAGTCTTTACTTCATCACATGGTTCAGTTCTTCCTCATGTATGAAGAATGTATCACCTAGGGCTGGGCGACTCCTCCATTTATTGTTATTGAAGATTTTATTGTTGGAAAATGTTTTTTTTTTTTTTTTTCCACCAATACACTCCTGGGGTTTCCATGGTTCATAGTGACGTCAGCGCGCCCAAAGCCGCCATCTTGTTTTTACAACTTCTATTTATTTTTACTTTTGAATTTAGGTCAACTTCGTGATTAAATGTCAGGGTAAAATTATGATTTTTTTTTTTAAATATAAGAATAAAGTTGTGCCACAACAAAGTTGGAATATTGTCAAAATAAAGTCGTAACATTAGGAGAATAAAGTATCAATTTTTGTTAAAATGTTGATGTAAATTTTACAAATAATGAAATCACTTTTAACACATTAGCACCAAATTATTGAGTAGCAGGACTATGAAACGATCGTGCAATTGATTTATTTAAAGTACTACACAAACTGAGCTGCTTACGTCAGATCATGATAATTTAAAAGATTTTTTAAAGGGACGATTCATACGCAAAATTGCACCTTTATTCTGCTAATATTATGACTTTTTTTCCCCCCTCATAATTAAATTATAAAAGCATACCCTACCCCTACAACTGTCATGCAACTCACAGAAGTGAAATAAAAAATAGTCAAATTTTAGATAAGCGGAAACAAGATCTATTAAATTTGGACCTGGTACATATAAAAGCCCTCTTATTTTGCGCCATTTCGCCCAGCCCTAGCGTCACTCTTTCTGGGCTAATGCTAGACGCTTGTGACAATACTGTCTGTTTTTGTTCTGTTTGTACTTGAAGTACGTAGGAGTACCGACGGCTGCTTTCTGAGCTGCGTACTGCGGGAAGTTTCATTTCCGCAGCACATAAACATCAGCCAGATATTAGCTGGGACAACTGGAGGATGGTTATAGTTTTATCCCTAAAAAAATGAAACGGTAATGATGAAATGCTGACGCTATCGTATGTAATTCTTTGGTACATTAGTTTTTATTTCCAAAAAAAGGTTTGTTTTTACTTGTGCAAGTTGTTTTTATCTCAAAAAAGAAAAGTGCCTCCTTTGTTTTCTTTTTAAAAATCGTTTTTATAAAGTTATTCACAGGACTGTTTTAAGCCAGAAATCCAGTTTTCAGTCAAATCTACAATGACGTTTTATTTTCTTGCCCTTCTTGTGTTTTTAAAGTGCAGTAAAAGGCACCAGCGCCTTTAACTGGGGAAAAATATATAAACTGGGTTTTAAACCTGTATGATACGAATGTTTGCTGCAACAGAGCATGAGTTCAGTGCTCCCCCGTCCCAACAAACACTGGAAATAAATAAAAATCTTAAATATATATTCTGTCTTCCTGCATATTTTTGTTGCTTAATTTGTCTTGTTGCACATTAACAGGGTTTCTAGAGTTTGGAAGTGTTGGTTTTCATTTTGTTTGTGTGTCTTCATATTGTCCTCCATTATCATAAACATTATTGGGGAACCTCGGTGCCGTTTTGTCCGGTCCGTCACTCAGTTTTACAAATAAAAATCAAAGTCCACGGGAAGAACTAAATCACAGTAGATTGTAGTTCTGCTTACAAAAGTATAAATAAAATGTCGGAGAATAAAACGGGGTGAGATGATAAACAGACAATCATGGCGACCGCGGGAAAAATTGATGCTTCAAATTGAGAAATGGACCAGCCAATGTTCTTTTCTATTTTCTTTATTTTTTAGAAGTGAAAAGCTAACCTCCATGGTTAGTTTGACCATCGATATATTACTAGTGATATATCAACGAGTTGTTTATATTTTTAATTGTGTAATTCTGTAAAGACGAAATATGTCTGGTGGTCCAGCTCTGATTTACATGTCTTGCTAAATTGCGGGTTTGAATATTGCAATACTTTCCTATAACAAAATAGACCTGCAGAAAGAAATTACTAATAAAATATCTTACATATGCATAGTTGTATGCTCTAGACAAACTGTAATAATGTTATTTCCTTGTCAAAAATTCTTTAATCTCTTGTGGGATTTTGAAAAGGCCTTTCCTCAACAACAGAAACAAAGCAGTGCTCACTCAGAATAATTTTTTTAAACCCCACATTTTTTTCAATTTTTTTGATTATTGTTTTGAGTGAAAAGAAATTTTGAATATGAGAGTTTCTGGCTTGTGAGTTGACCATTTATAATAAATGGACCTTTAATGTTTTGAAAAGTGTCGGTGGATCTTCAAGTATCCCTGGTTTAGAAGGTAAAGTGGAGGTTAAAGGTCAGGTCATTAGTGAAGGTTCTGGGTTTGATTTCCTGTTTTGGACCATTTGCTGCATATCTTCCTGCTCTCCATCTTCATACCTGACAGCCTCAGACATCATATCTTCACAATAGAGCCAAAAATGTCTTCAAATAAATGTTTTATGATCAAATAGTTAACACCCAATGTAACACCTGAATAAAAAGCATTTTAATATATTTATTTAGACAATTGGGTCAAATTTCTGGTCCTTGGTACCAATTCTAAACGAAAATCTCTTCTCTAAATTTATCAGTAAATTCAGATATTTTGAGATGTAAAAAGGTCCTTTAAAAACACAACTCTATAGTTTTTTAGCTAAAGTATTTGACTTTTAAAATCTTTACCTACTCATAGAAGATTGTGTGTAAATTCTGCATAATTTTTAGCTATTTAGAAAACCAAATGGTCTCAACAGATCATTTATTTAATGTCTTTGGTGACAAATAAACCCAGAAACGGGTAAAATGAGCAGAACCAGATGGAAATCAGAACCAAGTGCATTTTAGGACCCGGACCATCTAAACCAGGAACTGGACTCAATAAAGACGGACTGTAACTAAACTACAAAGTGAACACAGAATTAAAGTCCAAAGAGTTAGCTTTAGCAAAAAATAAGACAAATTTAAATAACTTGTTGTTAGCATTGCTATCATGTCCAAATAATGCTCTGTTACAGTATAAGGCTCTTTATAAAGTGCTTAGATGTAAACTGGATCTGAATCCCGTTTACTGGTGTTCCACCATTAAAGAATGATCCATGTTTCTACACTGGAATCCAGTCTTCACAGAAGGAGGAAGAGGAGCAGCGTTGGTGAGGAGGACCAGCCGTCCTGCTGTGCTTTGTGTCAGAAGGTTCTGATGGATCCGGTCTCTACCAGCTGTGGACACTGGTTCTGCAGAAAATGCATCAGATCCTACTGGGACCAGTCTGCTCCATCTGGACCCTCCTCCTGCCCCCAGTGTGGGAAACGACCCAGAACAGGAGCTGGACTGCTGACAGCCAATCAGAGCAGCTGTGCTCCAGGTGAGACTGAACATGTCCAATCAGAGCTTCCTTCTGTTGTCTGTTGGGCTTTTTAAAATTAGCTCAAGACCTGTAAAGAACCAGACACTAGACCAATGAGGTTTTTATGCCTTCCTTTGCAAAGGGAGAGATCCACAACCTCTAACCCGCTCGGGATCAAAGATTGGTGAGCTCTGCTCAACTCTCCTTGGGAATCGGCTTCTATTATGATAACCTTCTTCAGTGGAACAATGCTGAGATAACAGAACAGATGGACCCCTTGAGTAGGAAATTACATCATAGATAAAGAAAGAACCTTAAAGAATAACTGGTCAGAGCCAGTTAGGTAACTGAACACATTTAGATAAAACACTCAAATAAAATGATAAAACAATGATTAGTTTTACCCAACAATGTCTTTAGTTGAGATTTGGAAATTCAAGGTTGTATAAATCTTCCTGTCAACTAAATCTCTGTATTTCCAGCTGCTGTAAATAGTTTTGCTTTAAAGAGGCTCTGTTCTCAGCTAATTGCATACAAACTGCAATTAGCACAAATCAGAGGCAGAAATATGCTGTCTGACAACATAACAATATTCTGTTTCTGAAGATTGATCCAATCATTTAGCATCACATCACATGATGTGATGGTTTAGCATCACATCATGTGATGCTAAATATATGGAACAGATGGTTTTGTTAACCCTGCTGTTAAATATTTTTACTCCAAATATTTTTACTTCAGTTGTTGTTTCTTCTGTTTCAGCAGATGTTGTTCTGCAGGAGGTTCTAGAGGAACATAAGATCAGTCTGAGGAGGAGATGTGAATGTGTGACTGAAGGAAGTGACGAAACAGGAAGTAGAACCCTCCTCACAACACATTCTCACTCCCAACTCGTCACATATTGACGCTTGGGCAGGTTCCCTCAGCGTCACATGTTGACGCAGAGGGAACCCCCTTCGCGTCAATAATTGACGCGAAGGGTTCTCTCATTGAATGCTGTACCGTTCCCTAAGCGTCCGATACTGACGACCTAGGAACGAATAAGATCACGAGTCTATTCTATTTTTTAAAACCTTTATTTACAATTTATGTGCTAGTTTTAACAGGATATTAAGAATATTTACTACAAATACATGTCAGTATCGGTCAAAGGACTTTAATTCGGTATTTAAAAAATAACTCAGTAAAATATAAAACCGGAGGGTTTTTGTGGTGGTTGTAACTTGATTTAAAAGCCTTTTTTTTAATTTACCAATTATTTTTGAGTATATCAATGATTTACACCAAATAAATTTAAGAAAAATTCAGATGTATTTTCTTTTGTGATTGCATGCAAACTGTTCTGTAAACCTTTTAATATGTTCGATTGAAATAAAAATAAGGACGGATCCCACAAAAACACAAGAAGAAGAAGAAGCTGACGTCATCCTATGCGACACTTACACTCCGGTGAGTAGAAATCTGCATCTATCAAAAATGTTTTTGTACTCTAAAACCAAAAATAACTCCAAAGTGTCAAGCTATAAAGTTACTGATGGTAGTTTTAGGACTTAATGGCAGTAGGACTGTGATTCGAATGGTTGAAGATACGTTTGTAACATTTTTTTTGCCGGAGAATATACGGTGGAAGCTAGCTAAATTAGCCTCTTGGAGGCTAATCGTACGTTTAATTAGCCGTAATAAAGTCACATAATAGTATTTATAGTAATGCTTGTTGTTGCCACTTTGTACAATTGGAGGGTTCCTAAAAACATCAGTGTTCCTTGGCTGTGATGATCTTTAAAGTTTTGTTTATGAATCCTGTCTGAATACACTGATTGCAGCTAGGTCATTTACTTGAATTAAAAATGAACTTGCATCAGTACAGGCACATTTCTTTCCTCCTGTCTATGTTATTTATTGCTGTTGCAAGCCAGATGAAGAGAAGTAAAGAGCTGAGAACCTGATCTTTGAACAGACAGAGACCATAGCTGAGGAGCATCCAATGATGATACCAGAGAACCAGGAAGAGACTGTGATAGTGCTTGATCTTGTTCCTGTTTCTCCTCCTGTTGTCCCATCCTCTCAGTCTTTTCAGAAGAAGAAAAGACCCAGAAGCATCTCTCCAGCTGCCTCTCCTCCCACTCCGTCATCTCTCCGTCCCCCACCCCCGCCCGTAGATCAGCCACATCTGCATTCATGTCACCTGCTGACCATGCCGTCTCCTTAAGTCAGGGTGGCCGATAAGAAGAGAAAGCGTAAGTTTTGTTTTCTTTACATTCATGCATCCAACATGTCAACCTCTTTAGCACGATTCGTACCTGTGGAGATCCCAGTTAGAATTTGATTGTCCATCAGAATGTTTGAGGATCAAACCAGGACAGGCAGTCACTGTGGTCATGCTCAATGGTATGAATAACAAGTCTTTGAATGACTCAAAACCAAAATATAAAAAACTATATTATCAAAATTTAAATAACTGTCAACTTTGGCTGTGTGAGTACTTTAACGTACATATCCCAGAAGGGCCGTCTGACTCTATTCTTGAGTGGTTATGCTATTCAACATTTTGGTGTAACTGGTTAAACACACTTGAATCAAATGGCTGAGGTGCCACCTCATTCATTCTGCATTCAGATCATATGAAGTCCTGGTAACATCAAAATTAATTGAGTGAGATGTTTTGTGCCAGAGAAACACCTAAAACTTGAAAGACACCTAACCTATTCTTGATGCCTGGTATTTGGACACCTATGTCCTATTTTATGTTTTCTTTTTTTTAATCTGTCATCTTAAATCAGACAGATAAGATCTCGGCTGACAGCTTCCTGAAAAGATTTTTGAGTGGGAAGCCATAATATATGAGTTCAGCGACAATAGGCGAGAGCGGTCCATGAGGCGTCTATCCTTATATTATGTGTATGGTAAGCCCCCTCAGGAATAAGGTGGATACATACCACAGTTACCAACGGCAACAGAGAAAGGGGGGCAGTGGAGCTGTCAGTTACTGGTTACTATGGTAACCAGTAACTGCCAAGAGCAGAGTAACAGAGTTTAATACACCGATAAATGTCTGGAGAAACAACCTAAGTGAAAGATTTGAGCTGCATTTCACAGGTAAGCTTACAAACAGGTACATGAAAGAGGAAAATAATTAATAAAATCTACAATAGAACATTCTGATATTGTTGTCAATATCCAATGAGAAAAACTGGATCAGGTCATTAAAAAAGATGACAGAAATACCCAATGAATTAGTTTTTACAGTTCATAGAGCCTCCAGAGTAAGGATAGACAAAACAGTTGTCCATTATTTACTATTTATTACAGAAAATGTGACTTACACTGTTGTAATATAGTAAACAACAACCCTTCAGTTAATATTTCCATCTTCAATCAGCGACCATTTAACAGAAAAGCAGAATCAAAATATATAAAGTTTGTTGTGCTTATAAATATCACAATAACAGGTATAACTACAATTAAACACAGAAATCTTAAAATATTATTTCTTCGCATTAATAAAAACAAACTTTCTAAGCAGAAATAGTGAGACATGACTAAGAAGCGGCCTCCTAGTTGTCTTTGCAGTTCTGATCGGTGGCCTTCATCCTGGAAATGTCGATTCCTTCCCTGACCAGCAGCTCTTTGGCATAGCGAACCGTCTGTGGCGGCGGGAAGCGCGACCGCGACAGGATCCAGGCGTACTCGACTCGGAACAGGCGGAGGACATCCGTGCAGGAGTACACCACCGCCAGGCTGGTGTAGTCGGTGGTGAGGACCCAGTACGGGCTGTAGGGAGTGACTGTGAGCAAACGCCATAAAGTTAGTTTATTTGCTGATTCAGGAGGTCAAGGTAACATCAGATCCACCGGGCTATTTGTGTACTTTTGTAACTTTTACCAAAATATGTTTTTGACATATATTTTTTATAATATGAGATGGATCATCTGTGAAAAGATCAAGATCCTCTCTGAGCTACTGTTGCTGTCAGAATCAACCTATCAGAGCCAGGAGGCGGATCTTAGTGCTGCCAATCAACTTTGTGTACACAAAGCTCAACGTACTAATGGTGGAGAGCCATTTATAACTACCCTTAGCATCCCTGGTAGGCTATGTTGTGGTGAACAACAATGCTGTAGCATAGCAGAGAGCAAAGGGTGAGCACAAGAGTGACTGACAGCGCTAAGACCCTCCTCCTGGCTGTAATTGGTTGTTTCTGGCTGAGGTGTATTTCTACAGTTAGTCCTGGGAGCATGATTTTTTTCACAGATTATTTGTCTTTATATAATAATAATTTTAACAAAAATATATACAACATATCTTATTATAAAAGTTATGTGATGCAGCATTAACTTGGAATTATTCATGGAAAATCTGCCTATTCATGGATTGTTTCATATCTAAAATATTTTAAAGAAAATGCAGTTTGGGAAGCTGGAATACAGAGGCCCTGTGATATTTCACACAGTATTAGCTGGCCAATCCAGGAGCTCCATTCATTTTCCTTGGCACTGATTGGCTGAACCCCTAAAACCAGAAATAAAGAAGACCGTTGATGTATTCAACGTTCACCTTTTGATTCGCATGATTCCCAATCGGCATGTCTTGTATTTTATTAACCTTATATTCTAACACAGTGTTTAAAAGTAGTCCAACCTCTCCTGGCGCCATATTTCATTCCTAACAGGAAGTCATGGTTGTTTTGAAGGACTGATTGGTTTTAGCTTTGCGCTACACTGCCCCCTATGGGTTTGGCATGTTTAAAACAACATTCAGTGTTGAAATTCAGCAGGTTTGTGTAAATAAACACTTTTCTTAAACCGATTCCACATGTACGATATTATTTTTTCAAATACTATTTGAGATATTTGTTTTTTTGAAGACCCAGCTACATGTGTACAAGACGTGGATTTAAAATGGGAAACTTCTGGGTTTTTGTTCATTATTGAACTCAAGCACTGACAAATTAACATCCATCTCTTCATTTGTTGCTATCAGACTCTTGGTGCTCTTTATTAAACACACTTACAGTATGAGAAGCTGACTCCAAGTTTGGCCATCTCCCTCGTATCGGGAACCACAGCTGTCCCTTCTGCTGTGCTCACTTTATCTTTACTGGAACATATAAACAGAGTTGCACACGCAAACATTTAATTACTAACAATAACAAAAGCTATTCACAATGGTTTTAAACCTGACATTTTCTGCAAAATTATCCGACATACATCAACTTCTCTCTGCTAACTCCAGACTGGCAGATTTAAAAAGAAGAAAAACAGCTAAGCTAGGCAAAAAAAAGAAAAACAGATCCCAAAGAATGCTGAGTCACTGGTTGCTATGGGGATTCCCGCCTTTCCTGGAACAAAGGAGGGACAGGATTTCCACATGTCCACCATTTTTATTTCACACAGTAATCCAAGCACGTGCAAAAACTGTGACTTATGACTGGAAGCTATCCAACTATGAGTCGCAGAACCTTTTGAAGCTTTCTGAATATATGGTGAAATCTAAAAAAAACCATAAAAAATAATAAAACTTAGATCATGTAGAAACCATGAAAGGTATAAAATATTAATACAGTCATATGAAACATTTAGACTTAGAGTTGAGTTTCTGCTATAAAGTTTGAATACAGATTCAAAGAAGGTTGAAGTTTCTCTGCGTTTCACCAAATCCCATAATGGACTAATGGGATACTTATGCAATACTTATGTAATCTTGCAGATTACGTAAGTATTGCGTTATATCAACATTAAAAGTCATGGCACGCTCTTCCCTTTGGAGCCGGGTGCTGTACATGTATTTTTTGAATTAATTTTTTCCAGAAATGATAGAAAACCAAGCAAAAATAATGACAGAAAAAGAATAACAGGACAAAGTATCAGATAGAGTATCAGAATTTTGGACCCAGAAAAGTTCTAGTTTTCACACAAAGCATCAAACTAAATGAAGAAGCAATAATTTTACTCACTACAGCTGAGAGTTCAGGACTCGGATGGTTCCATCTTTCCTCAAGGCGTAATTCGCCTCGATGCATTTCCCCCTTTCAAAGGAATTGGGAAGCCTCGCTATCTCGTACCACCGTCCCAGATACTGGCGACAGAAACAACTGGGTCACTTTGCGTCCATATGTGCTCCTAACATGTTGTTATAGGATTTACCTTTTGGACGTCGAAGCCGGGCTGCACTGCCGGACTGGGACAGGGACCCCAGTGATACGTCTGAGCTGAGACCAGAGGCAGCAGCAGGAGGACGAGGTAGACGGCAGACATGGTTCCTGCAGGGGACAGACAGGAACATATGGAAAAGGTTGAATTATTACCTGTTTAAAGAAGATAATCAGTGAGGTAAAACATTGATTAGTTTCGACTATGGGAATTTGTTGTGGGTGAAAGTACAGCAACACGTTACAGTAAGACAAGAAACATCACAATGCAGACCAATTTCACTGAATGAGATAATGTAAATCTGGCTACACAGTTTCATTGTTGTAATATAAAACACAGAAAATAAGTAAATATGTAATATATGCGGGACTAAATCTACCCCCAAACCACCAATATTATCAAGATTTATTAAGAAGAGAAATGAAAATTGGATGAAAGGATAATTTAAAACTGTTCCTATTGCAGCAAATGGCTCTGAAGCGTTTCTGCAAAGGTAATGATCTACAAACAGAACATGAAAATATAGTTAAATATGTGAATACTACAGGCAGTGGGTGTAACAGGGTTTATTAACAATGTTAGAGGCTGGATGAGGAACAGGCACATGGATCAGGACAAATATCCTAAATACACTGTCTGGAAACTTCACTGTGAGGGGAAATAATGTCATTTTAAGACTTTTTAGATAAGTTTCAATATATACATTCATTTGACTTGTTAAACTTTTATAAAAATAATAATATTTAGCTTATTTATAGAAACTGACACTAAGTCATGACAAAATGGTGAGACAGATATTTGGTGACAAATTTAGCTCCTCTGCCTTCTCCCAGTGCTAACAACCAATCAGAGTCAGGAGGCGGGTCTTAGCGCTGTCAATCACAACCTCATGATCTCTGTTATGCTGCAGCTAGCATAGCATGTCGTGAATGCTAAAGGTAGTTAGCTTAGCCACAGATATCGGTGTATAAAGGCGCTTTCACACTGCACGGAACGGGACGGAATGGGTGTGTTCGCATTACAACTTGTGTTCCACCCGGCCCCAAGTGTTCTGCTTTGAACCAGCAGCTGATTGGCCACTGGTTGTTATGGAGTCAGATGCTGATTTTCGTCCCAATATCAGCCAATCAGCTGCTGGAACGCTTGGGGCTGGGTGGAACGCAAGTTGTAATGCGAACACAACTGTTCCGTCCCGTTCCGTGCAGTGCGAAAGCGCCTTAAATGTTGTCTCTCCATCATTAGCATATTTAACAACGAGTACATGAGGGTGATTGACGGCGCTAAGACCCTCCTCCTGACTCTGACTGGTTGTTCTTGGTTGGGAGCGGAACGTTTCTTTAGATGACGATTGTAATCCAAGGGGGAAGTGACAGAGATTGATCTTTTCAAAGATTATCTGTTTCATAAACTTTCACAATATGGTGACAGTTTTAACAAATATGAAAAAACATTTTATTTATATAAGTTACACACTGCAGCTTTAAGGTTATTATTTATAGGAATTATTCATACTATGATTGCAGAACCAACAGCCATTATGAAGCTGCTAGTCAACATTACACTGCAAAATTACAAAATCTTACCAAGTAATCTTGGTCTAGTTACTAGAAAAACTATCTTAGTACAGTTGAAATAAGATAAAACCAACTAACAAATAACTTTTCAGCAAAATATAGCACCTTGTATTAGGTCAATAATTCCTTCCTTCAGATTATTTATCAGATTATTTTCACTTATGATGAGTCATTTTCCCCATGTTATAAGTGAATTAATCTGCCTATGGAACTAGTACTTTTTCATCAATTTTAAGGAATTATTGGCTTAAATCAAGCTCATATATCTTGCTAAAAAGTTACTTATAATTTAGTTTTGTCTCATTTTAGGTGTAGTAAGATATTTGCACTAGAAATTACACCAAAAATACTTAGATTTTGTGTTTTCAGTGCAGCTTTACAGGCCACCAACCTGTAAACGTCTAGAATAGTCAGGTTTTTTTCTGAATGCATGCCTGTCATAGTTTGAATTTGTACACACTGGTTTGGTAAGAGTTGTGATTGTTAACTTGAAGTTCATGGTCATGCGTGAGAGAGCAGAGAGAACAAGCACTGCAGGGAGGTATTTTATCTTTTGTCTCGTTTGACTGCATTGAAGCAGCCACACCTGCTCTTCAGGTTTCAAGGTGTTGCTTTGGGTTGAAAACACCTTCAGCTTTGTTGACATTATGTAACTCTATTATAAAACATATTATTTAATGACATTAAAGGGATTTCAGCCTATAAATGTTAAATGATAAAAATGAAAACTATTACCTCAATATGATGAGTAAATGCAAATATATAATCTGATGTAACAGGAAATAATCCTTCTCAACAAGACAAAATAAACGAGACAAAATAAAAACCATGTTAAGATCTTAGTACTTTGCTTCCCGTGTGATGCAGGTTAAAGTGATATTTAGGAAGTGTTTCCTTACCTGAGTGGTGTGGAGCTCTGTAGCTGTGAGTCTAACTCTCCGGCTCTCTGGATCAGCACTGGTTCCTCTCTGCTTGTTAAAGAGACAGTCTGCTAATTGTTATCATGCGCACATTCCCTCCCTGACGGAGCGCTGACTCAGGAAACAAACAGTTTGACTCATTTATGTCCCGTAATGTTGACAGTAAAGCTCCTTTCCATCGCTAAGGAACGTAACTAATTACATTTACTCGGTTACTTTTACTTGAGTAAAGTTTCTATGAAGTATCTGTACTCTTATTTCTGGATTTTCTACCCACTGAATGAAGAACAAACATGTTTTAACCAAAAATTCACCAAACACAGATTCACACCTGCAGTGTGTGTCTGTTAATGTTTGTTAAAGTTTTATAAGTTTCATATATAAAAAAAGTTATTTTTTCCTGATTTTGTATAGTAAGTTATTTATATTATAAGTTATTGTGTAGTATGTTATTTATATAAATTAAAATAATTTTGAACCTTAAAATACCAAAATTTTCACATAACTTTATATGTTCTGTCTGATATCATCTGATTAATAATTAATCTGAGGGTATAATTTTTAAATATTAAATGATTGATGTTTTTATCAGTTATTCAATACTTGAGTTGCTGTTTTACTAAATACTTTTGGACTCTTATTTGAGTAATTTCTTGGACGACTACTTATTATTTTTACTGGAATAAAAATATATTGACTCCCTGTGAACTGAGGTATATGTGCAACTTGATAAAGGACATTTAAATAAATATCATTGGGGGTGTATATATGCTTGAGTCTGTTCGAATGAGAGAAAATCTACAATAATTTCAAACCAATGTCCCAAAAATTAATGCAGTTTGATGCTATGCCAATCATTCCACCCTAAAAATGTTTACATTTAAATAGGGATTAAAAGCAAAAAAGAAAATATTACAGCAGAGCCATTTTTATGCCCATAAACTTCTGTATGCTGTTAATTATTTCGATCATCAGGATAAATCCGGCGGGCTTTTATCATCAGCTAATGACAGTTGCCATAGAGACACTGGAGAGTTGTTAGCTTGAAAACAGCTAGCCTTGTGTAGTAGTAGCTAGCAACACTAGCTAACAACACAATCAATAAAAAATAAAAATGTAAAGATGAACATGTTCAAAATACGTACACATGTTGTTGCTTAGATACATGTCAATGGGTTTGTTGTTAATTATCAAATATTGACATAATCAAATGCTCAAATTAGCTCAAATTAGCAAATTTCGTAACAGCTATGAGCTAAACGGTTTGCTGCCGAGCATGTTGTAGACAAATAACGCTTGTCTTACATAGTTATCAAACTGCCCATGCTAACGACAGATCCCATCGTTTACTTTATGCTGTTTCAAAAGTTGCTTTTGATAATTTTCTTTTCAGAAACAATTATTGTGTGTTGGTGACGTGCTTTGAATCATTCAGGCAGAAAACCACAAGATGGCGCCATCCTTACCTCCTTACCTTTCAAAAAATATAACTGCTGATATAACAACAATAGTTTGACATCGCTGATCCACACAAACTGATCTAACAGCAGGGAAAAAACAGTTTCTGCATTACTGCTGTATTTTGGAGAGTCTACACATTATGAAGAAAATCAAAGAACTAAGTGTGTTAAATAGGTTTTATGAATGTTTGTTGGACATTCTGAACATTTTGACATGAGGATTTTTTAAAAAGAATTGCCTGTCCACTGATTAGGTGTGAAAAGTCATGATCCAACAACGCCGCATTTAAGGAAAATGTGATCCAGATTACTTTTTATAGGTGATAATCAAGATAACAGTGAAGATTATAGGAGCTGAGGAAAAGTGAGATTTGGTTTGGAGTTCATTTTCCAACAAAACAAATATTTGACGTGGCAGCAGCTGAGCGATGTTACAGTGGGATGTGACTGGCGTGTGTGTGTGTGTGTGTGTGTGTGTGTGTGTGTGTGTGTGTGTGTGTGTGTGTGTGTGCGTGTGTGTGTGCTGGAGCTGGGCTCCTTCATGCTGGCCCCCACACTCCACAGCGGACCAGGAGACCAACTGCAGCAAACTCTGATCAGGTAAAGATGGTGCATTCACTCTACGCTAAACACTTCTTTAGCCCACAAACTGGCAACAAATTAACTTTTTTCCATTTAATTAGGAGCTCAAGATGAAGCTGTTGTGGATCAGCGCACTCCTCTGCATTTTTTCCTTCCATCTCTGTGGTGAGTTTCTTCATATTAATGTTAAAATCTCCACTAATCATCTGCTGGATGGAAGAAAAAGAAAATAGTTTTGTATCTGATTTTTTGTTTATTTGTTGATCAAGTTGGATGCAAGTGGTTTGACTGAGATGAGAGTTTTAGCTGTGAACAGAAAGAGCGGTCTGTGGGTCTGTGTTTGTTCAGTAAAGGGAAAAATGTTTGCTGAGGAACATGGAGAAAGAAACCTCTTTTAGTTTTAGGACTGAATCCCTTCTTTGTTCAGGGAAAACTGTTTGGGAATGTTAACTCTTTTTTCTCGGTCTCTCTTTTCGCCTCACAGTGGCCAGAGTCGTCCCAGAAGGAGGTACAGTTTCATTCAAACTAAATATCTCCATCTTTATCTTCTTACAACCTTCAAACTTACATTTCTGCAGATATTTTAGGGACCAAATCTGCAGAAAATCACAATGTTCATCCATATTTACTCCTCTGGCTGAGAGGATTTTTTTGAATGTGTTAGTGGGGATTAGTCAAGTGATTTAATGAATCACAATAAGGAGAGCTGTAAATGGAGATTATAATTCATTAAAAACATAATTTAGACAATCACGTTTCTCATTTAACCTCAGATTTAGAATATTTTCCCCCCGATAATCAAACAGTTGACCAGATTTAAAGGTTTTCAAATTCAAAAAAATAATTTATTGATCCAAAGGGGAAATTAAATATGTACATAAAATAATAAAAATACATAAATATGTACATACATTACACTGAAACTGACACCTTTTACGCTTCTCAGCACTTTTTGTGAATTATGTAAATTAATTTTATGGAGGTTTTCTCTTATTTTACTGTTTGTTTTTGTTTAAATTTGTTTAATGGTTGCTATATAAAAAATTATTTGAAATTTAAAATTTTATTGGACTTTACTGATTTAATTCAAAATGGATTCAGAGTGTAGAAGTAGAGCTAAAGATAAATCAACAGATAAAGTTGATTTATCTGTTTGTTGTTGTTTTATACATAAGACATTGTTGTTTTCCTAACAGCATCTCAATCACAAAATTATACTTCATAAGATAATTTCAAATAAAAGTGTTGGTGATTAATTGTCCAAATATGTTAGGAGGAAACTTTTACAGTGATGCTGTAAAACCCTTTGGTTTAGTTTCCTTGTGGTGCAAATACAAATTTTCTCACATTATTTATCTTAATACACCATCAATACATCGAGCCTTTATTGTCAAAGTATGTTATTGAACTGATTTAAGTCATTAAAACCTGATAAAACTGTAAGTATTGCATATAAATACCTGTTTCCTGTAAGCCAGCTGTCGTTCTGTCCCGTTCAGTTCCATATGACGAACCTCCAGCTGTTCCCTACTGGCCTTACTCCACCTCAGACTTCTGGAACTACATCGAATACTTCAGGTCCATCGGCGCTTACAGCCACATCAACGAGATGGCTCGGGCGTTCTACGCCCACCAGCACCTTGGAGACACCCTGGGATACGAGACCAACGCCGGACATGAACACTGAGAGGACAGCCAGGATGTTTAGAGAACGAAACCAAAATATTCTGATGGAGAGGGCGAAAGAAAAAGGGAATATAGACACAGAGCCTTTATATCTACCTTAAATAGTTTGAAGCATAGCGATGAATATAGGGAACAGTGAAGCTTTGTTGGTAGAACTGCATAATATATCCATGTAATGTGTAAAAAATAAACAAGACATTTTGCTTCTAGATAAAAGTGTCTAAGGAATCTATTCATCTATATGTATTAATCCCAGGGATTGCCAGCAACAAGCAGAATGCCACTTGATGGGGAGTATTGATGAAATCCCTTAAATAAATGTTATTCTGTTGTTGAAATTTCAACAAGAGTAATTAGGGTCAGGAAGCTTAAAAATGTTTGTTATCCTCAGAGCAAAGAAGCAGAATATAGAGAGCAAAAATGCAAAAGAAATCTATCTATAACATTTTTACAAACAAACATTGCACCAAAGCATTTAAAAGGAAAGTGAGCAAATTAGTCAGGGAAAAACATCCCATCATTAGAATAATGCATTCCCTAGGTTTTTTCCCCCCTATATTTTAAAACTTATTATTGAAGTTTTTTGCATTTCAAAGTACAAGTAAAACAATAAAATAGATAATTAAACACGAACAAACATTAACAACCGTACTACTCCTTGCCATTCATCTCCATATGGTGGGAAAAAAATAATATAAAGAAATAGAAAAACATTTATACAGTAACAGCCAGATTATTTTAAAATAATTGTATTGATTGCATAAATAACATGATGAAAAGTTATTAAAAATGAATAATATAAAATTAAATAATGATAACTAGTAGTACTGATACTATGATTACTATTACTTATAAAAAATATTAATAATTATTACTAGCATTGTTATTTGTCTGTACGGACTGAAAATACTGAGATTGATTTTAATGCCGTTCAACCACCTTAATTATGAGGTAAAATTATGATATTATCCTCTTTTTTTGTTTCGTTTCTCATTGTTGGGTTAGTGGACCGAATGAGACGGGCAAGCGTTTAAGGCGGACTCAAATAAGCGTCGCACACTGTTGTTTTGTGTTTGCCGGAAGTTAGCCAGCTTTGCTATTAACAAACTGAGCGGTTTTAAACGAGTTTAGCGTTAAAACAAACAAACAGAAAAAGAGAAGAAGATGAAGCCTGCAGTGGACGAGATGTTTCCAGAAGGAGCCGGACCTTACGTGGACCTGGACGAGGTCGGTTTAAAGTTTAAACAGCTAATGCTAATATGAGTGCTAATGCTAACAACAATTAAACTCATTTTTATTTTCTGCCGTGTTTGCCTTAACAGTGATACAAATTTTAAAGCATACGGTCTTTCTAAATATAAAAATATTTTCAGCTCCAACCTAATAGAGAAGTCAACATTCATGTTTACCAAAAACAAACCAGACTGCTACTATTTATGCAGATCCAAAAAGTAATGTAAGCACGATTTGCTTTATTTTCTGGTTCTATTCAACATTTTTGCATTTTTACAAGGAATTGAGTTTATGTTTTCTTTTAACAAAAAAATTCAAAAAATATATATATAAAGCTTAATTTGTTATTTCTATTAATTTAAATTAAGGTTTTATGACTTATTTTAATCTGTGCTTTAAGCGAAACGGTATCAAAACTGTTAAAAATAATTACATATGAAATGAGTTTTACCTTTTTATATTTAAATTATTGAACTCAACGTTTAAATTGTATTCTACACTGTCTAGATTGACTTGTACAACATTCTCAAGCCCTTAAATCAAACTGTTTTATAACCATATATTTCTATTTTATTTTGTCAGAATAAACATAAATATATGTAATATTCGTACCTAAAAAAGTTTACTGAAATACTGGTGTAGTCAAGTCGGCTTCATTCTCTATTAATCATCAGCTTTTCCTGCATATAAATTTGTGCTTTGCTCCATTTTCCGCTCATGTACAGTAATGCAATGCTGTGTGTCAACAGGCAGGGGGCAGCAGCGGCCTGCTGATGGACCTAGCAGCCAACGAGAAAGCCGTTCATTCAGATTTCTTTAATGGTAAGACACCGAGCTGGATTATTCACTAACCACTGAGTTTGTTCAGACCTGAACTTCAGTTCTTCTTCCTAAAATGTTTCCAAACATCAGAGATGGTTTAAAGAAAACCTGAGACTATTTTTTTTTGTTCTGTAGAGATGTGTAGGTAATGTTTGCTCAATTTTATCAAGCAAATAATTTTATTTGCCTCTTTTGATGTGCCTTATTAGTACAATTTTAACGATAATGAATAGAAATGTTACACATGTGTGATTCTTAGGCAATTTGAAATTAAATTAGCAGCTTCATTTGACTGAAAACGAGGTTAACTAAAACTTTCCCATGGTATTTTAAGAAAATTTCCCCCTCCAAGGTAGAAACCAGCATGCTAAGCTCCAGGGAAAGGTGAAACTTGTAATCTAGTTTGTTCCCTGAACCACATTGTTGTTTCACATTAACCTTAGAAAAAGTCCTGTTGCTTCTCGCTCTGAACAGCAGCTAACGTGCGGGTGGAGCACAGAAAAATACCCAGCTAATCTGTTTTCTGTCTTGCAGCGCTGGCTCCCAGATGAACAATTCTGGCTCAGCAGCACATGACCTAGAAAGAAAAAGAGCTGATTGTTAAAAAGACGATGCTGTTGCATGGTAAAGTGAGTTTATAGGTGCTTTCAGACTGAAACTCAGTGGGACGCCTCGCCTCAGTCAGTCAGCCGCTTTAAATGCCTGCACTCTTAGAAACTCTCTCCATAGAGGGTGTTTCAATAAAAGCCTCACCTGCTTCATCAATGAGCACAAGTTCAAAACCATTCAGCTTATAGCTGGGTTTCCTAGCAAGTCTGAAAAAGTAGATTTAGCTGGTATTAGTTTGCTTATTCCAAATCTGCAGCCTTTGAACACTCCCACATTTGTCACGTTACAACCTCAAACTTTTAACGTGACATCTCGACCTAAAACATCTCACAGAGCTGTGAGATGTTCAAAGTTTGTTTTATGACCTAATCCTGGATGTTTTCTCACCTGATAGTCCAGTGGTTCTGATTTCATTGGGAACCAAAATTGCAACATTTGTTACATTTCAGCTGGAGAGGTTCACTTTTACCAAACTCTCTGGAAAACGTGTTCCCCTCCACATCTGTGGGGGCGCTGCAATATGAACAAACAAAGGAAACAACACAAACATCTCAGAAGAAGACACTGAGTGCAACTTTAGATTTTAGCGATTGTAGTATTTCTCTTTTGTCTTTGGTAAAAGACCACAAGTCATTTCTCCCGCTAATGCTAAACTAGCATATTTGTTTTGGTTGTATTTACCCAGAATGCCCTGTGCTGTAGTCGGGAGCAGTCTCCGGTCGACTTGGCGTTCACATGCAAACAGCACCAGAGTTCGTTTTAATCGAACCAAGACGGAGGTTTTTAGATGGACCAGATTCACTTCTTTGGTCCCCATCAGAGTTCGATTAGGTGTGAACACCTAATCGAACTCTGAAAGTCCACAAATGAAGGACTTTTCTAGAAAGTCCACAAATTAAGCGGACTTTCTAGACAATTAAAGTAGACTAAACAGATTTATGTTTAATCCTTAACTCCTCCAGAACCTCTTCCCGGACTCATCCTTGGACTTCATGATGCTGTTTGTTCTTTAATTTTGTCTTCCAAACCTCTCAGTACATCTAAATTACACACAGTTGCTCTACTTTTTATTTAGAGATATCGGATCAAACAAAATTTAGATCACTAAAACCAGACAATATCAATGTTTTGCATGTAAATGTCCACTGGGTAATCAAAACTCCTTGAAAAAGTCTAGAAAACTTCAAAAAGTTGGAGTTGTAAATGAAAATCATTTTATAAATGTCTCTAATGAACTCTCTGACACCTTTGAACATCTGCGTCCTGTGATCGGATTCATTAAAAGCAGCACTGAGGTGCAAATTTATCTCAGAAAAGGCATCAATTAAGTCAAAGGTGTCCAAAGTGTGGGGCGGGGGCCATTTGTGGCTCTTGGATTGATTTTGTGCGGCCCTTTGACCGCATTCAAGAAGATTGACCCTGTGACACTTTTTGTTATTTCTCTAGGATGAGATTTTCTGTGGCAAGTTTTTATCTTCATATATGGAAAACATGAAGTACAACACAAATATTTTTTTTATTTATTTAATCTGTTTTTATTATCCTTTTATTTTTATTTCATAAGTCATGCCAGAAACATGTAGCGAGGTTTTGCTCAAAAACAGACTTCATTATATTTGGCTAAATGCATCAAAGTTGGTAGAAGAAAATTCTTATTTTCGTTGCTGGGAATAAACTAAAAACAATTTATAGATTTAAAAAAATGGAAAATAACAATCCCAAGAAGTCAAATGACTGTAAACATAAAATATTATGTTTTCTTTATTATTGTCGAGGTAATAGAGAAATAATTCACATTGATATTTTTGTGTTTCCTAATTGAGGAAATTTCAACTTGGTGATTTTGGCCCTTGGTATTTTGGACACCCCTGCTTTCCGTCCTGCTGGTTGGATCTGCTCAATGTGACATTAATATACAGAATAAGTGGAGCTGCAGAGTGCGTTTCTCTCCCTCTGATGAGCTGAAGGCACAGTGGTTCATTGTTGCACAGATTGCTGATCAGGCCGCAGCAGAGTGACTTAATAACATTTGGTTGTAGCGTCTGGGCCGCCTGCCATGTGCAGCGCAGTGGTGATACTTCAAACCGTTGTCTGGTTGGGAGATGATTTGACATTTACCACCAGGTCTCTGTAGAAGGTCAGCTGAGCGCCGTAAAACAGTCAATGCATGTAGAAAAGACAAATTTTGGGTTCTAACTCATACCCCTGGAAGGTTTAGATTTTAAGTCATTTTCATTTTACTGATTAGTTTGTTATATCAGAAAATCACAATGTGTAACTCTTCTATGTTTGCCTGAGGTCCAATATGGCCGACTTCTCAACAGACTCACTCTAGTTCACTGTATTTATTTTAACAAAAGAGAAAGTCAAGTTGGTGGTTCACTTAAGCCTTATGCATTAAATAAAATACAATAAATAATCCTAAACAAACTACAGAGCAGTTGGCATTTGTAAAATTAAACGTAGCTAAAATTCACATTAATAATAATAACAGCTTAAAACAAATAAAATATGAAAAAATTACTCATGAAACATTGTATATGATTACATTTGTTTAAAATATGTCAAAAATATATTACTTGGTGACATTTGCCGCATGACGTCTCCCTCTCTCATAACCCTCCTTCCTGTCAAACTACACATTATCCAAAAATTTAAAAATAGTAACACAAAATGAATATCTTAGATTTGCTGTACAAACAAAAAAAGTGAATTTTCACAAATAATTTGGAGCTACATTCCACAGAAAAACCCAGGACCAGGTGAATCTGCAAATCCACCTCATTTATTGGTTGGTTGGTTTGGCTCTAATATCAAAAATATAAAAATATAAATATTAACTTTGTTACTGAATCAACCTGACATTAGCTCAGACCTGACAGATTTTTCTATATAAACTGGACAACATCACCAACAGAGGATTGAGTTTAAACACTTGACTAATTTATAATTCAATCCTGTAAAATTTTTTTATAAAAACAGCCAATAGGAGTTTTACAAAAGAAAATCATTTTAGGATGATTCATCTCAATAATAAGGGTTACTTATCTTTTTCTTGCAAAGGAAAACATCTCCGTTTCTGTTTGAGGTTATATAACCATATGAAATGTGTGTGGGTGGATACAGAAGCTGTTTTGATTATGTCTTTTTTTTAAGTACAAACAAAGTAAGACAAAAACCTTTTGGATCCATGCCAGCCTGTATTCACTTATTGAGGGGGAAGTTTTAGCTCATTTAAAGTGAGCGTCTCAGCTTGAGTGGGAGAAGAAAAAAAAACATTTATTATTTTCAGAATAATTAGCTGAGAGGTAGGAGTCTGGTGGAAAACAGCTGGACTCATCCTAACCTGGCGGTTCTCTCCTCTTCCTCTTTTCCTTCTTCCTGTTTTCAGACTTTGAGGATCTGTTCGACGACGATGACCTGCAGTGATCACAGCGTACACAACACAGATGAAGAAAACTGCCTTTAATTTCTCTTTTTATTTGTACAGACTCTCATATTGGTGATTAAGTATGCTATTAAAATAAATAAAGTCTTTGTGTTTCCACTGAAAACTGAGTGAACCAGGTGTTTGTGAATACTCACGGTCTCTTACATTCCGGCTTTGGAGGAAATCATGAGTATAGTTTTCATTTTGTCGTGTTTCAATCTGCTCCAATTGCAGGTTTGTGGGCTATGAGGACCATCTGTTACCAAACATAATTGCACACAAGGATCCGTGTTAACATGGGCTGTAAACACTCTGAAGGCGTAGTGAGAAGGGAAAAGATGAGGAATTCCTGAAACGTATAGATTTCTGCTTTCTTTCAGATGTAATTGGAAGTTTTCTGTCTGAACGAATCAAATTTCAGGGACTTTCTTTTCTATAAGCTGATGTAGACAAAAAGATAAGCTGCTGTGAAACGGAGAAATAAAGCTGGTTTTTGTTCGTTTAATTCCCCCCAAAAATGTCAAAACAGGCAGTTATTTTTACAGGATCATTTATACACGAGGTAAACTGCTTTAGAGAGAAAAACAAAAGTTTAGCTACATTTAAAAAGCTAGCAATTGATATACTCCGAAAGTAGTAAATTAATTGTAGAGTGGTAGATTAATGATTTATTAGATTGAAATTAGTTCTAATTGGGTAACTAATAGCATACAGCAGTAAAAATAGCTGAACAAATGTGCTGGAGGCTCTACTTGGGTTGCTAGGTGATGGGTAGGTTGCTAGGTAACGGGCTGGGGTTACTAGGTGAGGGACAGTGCCTGCTGATCTGTGACTTTCCGGAAGCTTTTGAAACCAAAAATTTTTAATTTATTACCAAAATTTCTGGTTGTGTTTTTTAAACACTTAAGCTGTTTTCAGAAGCAGTAGAAACCCAAATGGAAATACAAAAACAGGCAAAATGTGAATTTTGTGTGATATTTTCCATTTAATGTTTGTTTTTGTATTAAGTAAAACTTTTTTTTTTTTTAGGAAACATGAAGCCAAATAATAAACTAAGTTCTCATTGAATTAATAATACTGATTTTTGTAGCTTTTTAACTCATTCATTAGACAGTTACACAGAAAAAGTTGTTTTTTAGAAAAGAAAGTGTGGTCTTTTATGGATATTTGCATGAAAACCCTGAAAACATCCAAAGAAATGGTGAGAAAAATGCATCATTCTCCAAACTACTATAACATAATGTTTAAAACATGATTTATTTGGGATAAAATCAAATTCTGCATGGAAGTAATATTCATCTCTACGTTAAAATTCTCTCAAAAAGATCATAAAGTAATATCTGTAGCTGCTTTAAAACTCATCAAAACTGGATTATCGCCTCCCGTCTATCAGATATGGTGATGTTGCGTCATGCGTCTGTTCGGGTTGCAGTGTGTGTGTGTGTGTGTGTGTGTGTGTGTACCTGTGTTTCTTACGAGGCTGCAAGTCTGAACAGACTAAGCGTGGAGGAAACTGTGTATTATCATAGTCCCCATATGTGGACCAGCTGTGCCTGGTGGTTCCTCTGTGGTTCGGCGCCGTGAGGTCCCTAAAAACTGCTTATGTGGCTCCTAACTGCCTTCACTTTCTTTTTGTTTTTCCGTACCACTGCCCTCCCGTTAATCTCTGCTTTCCTTGTTTTGGATCGTTGGTCGTCACAAAGCCACTTGTGTTTTTTTAAAAAGGCTTTAGGATTTTCGTAATATGATTTTCCACTAAGCTGCAACAGTTGCAGTTTAAGTGACTTCTGAGAATATAGAACATTTCTGACTTTGAAAAATCTAAACTTTGCTAGCAAAAACTCAGAAATTTTCATGAGAACCTTTGGGCATTTCTGAGTTTGAAAAGTTGCACATTTCCAAGAAGTAACTCGAAAATTTTCTAGAAAATGTCTGGAAATTTCTGAGTTTCAAAAGGCAGAAATCTTTGACTCAATATTTCGAAAAGTTGAAAATTTTCGAATTTCAAACCCAAAAGTTTCAAAGTTTTTATTCTCAAAAATGTTTGACGTTTGAAGCTCAGAAATGAACTCGCTTTTTCTAGAGAATTTTGAAGATCAAACTCAAAATTTCAAAGTTTTTTTTCTTGTACATATTGGACTTTTGAAACTCATAAATTTCAGATGTTTTTTTCTCAAAAGTTTCTGAGATTAATCTCAAAATTTGACGTTTTTTTTCTTCCAAATTAGTTTTTTTGGCAGAAATGTGCTGATATTTTTCTATCTATAATGTCATTCTAGTTCACAGGCAGAAACATTTTTAGTATTTTGTCATTTTTGACTAACCTGTTGCAGTTTAACGTTATTTAACTGATTTTTGAGAATATTGACAAAGAACGACCTCTTCCTGTAAACATTCACCATTCAGTCTGGTATCAGCACTTTACAACTTCATTTAGCTGCAAAAGTTTTCCAAATAAAAAAAGGCTTCTGTAGTTAAATGGAAACTTTGCACAATGTGACGATTAATCGTAAGAATAATCGATTATCCTGACAATTAATCGATTGTCAGAATAATCGATTGCTAAATTAATCATTAGTTGCAGCCCTAAATTAAACAAAGGTAACCTCTTTTTTCAGTCTATTATTCCACGTCTCCATGTATTTTCCTCCTGCTCTCTTCTATCCTGCCTTTAATTAGAGCTCCAGCTAGACGCCTCATTGGCCCCAAACCTCGAGCCAATCTTGCTGCGGCTCCCCTCCATCCCCTCAGGTGGTCCATGTGTGCCTGAGACGACATTCCCAGTTAAAAACCTTCCCAGTTCGTTCATTCTGGGCAGTCTGTAAGGAGCTCACCAGGACTCCCAGTTGGAAAAAAAACACTCAGAGATCCGGAGTCTCTTCGGCTTCTTCCCACTCCAGACGGACGCAGCAGAGTCAGAATAACCACCAGGTAAGAGGCCAAGCCTGTGTTTACCTCAGGAGTTTTGGGTAATTTCCAAGGTTTCAAACGCAGATGAAAGTTTGTTTATGTGGAAAAACGCCTGGTGTTGATGTTACGATGACAAAGGCTTGGTATTAAAGGCCAAAAGTCCAGACAAGTCCAGGCAAGAAGCAGCGAGAGACGAGAAATGTTTCATCTAACAACCTAATTATTGCAATTAGGTTTGAATTTGGTTAAAAAATCAAAGTGATTTTTTTTTAAAAGTAAGCCTTCAATTTTGTGGTTCTTGTAGAAGTGGAAGAAGTCCAGTCATGGCTGAACGGAGGAGCTGCTTCGCTGTTTGGATCACTTCCCTTCTTGTTGTGATGCTGCTGCCTGGTGAGTACAGCATCAGTGTGCTGCAATATTCAGCTTTAATGAGTAACTGCAGCTGCAGAAGCATCTCAGAGCAGCACTACTTTAACATACTTTTACTATGGTAAAAGTAAAAAGTAGAAGTAAAAAAGTATTTGGTAAAAAGTCTTCAAAAGAACTGAGTAAATGACCAAAATATTAATTAATATTTAAATATTACATCATCAGTTGGACAAGAGTAGAAAGGTATGTGGAAATGTTTCTATTTTAAAGTCAAAAATGAAAATAACAAAATCAGGCAAATTTTATTTTTTCCCAGATCAGTTTCTTTCAATAATAATAAAAACTTATGAAACTTTAACACAAACTGCAGGTGTGTGTCTGTTTGGTGAAAACATGTTTGTTTTTCACTCGGTGGGTAGAAAATCCAGAAATTTGTCTAAAGTAAGAGTAGAAATACTTTGTAATAAAATTAAAAAGTATCCATCCAAGAAAAATATGAGTAAAAAAGCGTTTGGTAAAAAGTCTCCTCTAGTAGTGAATAACTGATGAAAACATCAATTAATATTTACATCATCAGACGGACAAAAGTAGAAAGTTACGTGGAGAGTTTAAAAACCAAACTGAAATTAATTCATACAAGTAACAAAACCAGGCGAAATATTTTTTCCAATTCAATTTCTTTCACTGTAGAACTGATAAAACTTTAACGAAACTTTTGGTTTGTGTCTGTAGCTGCATTTCTATTACGAATGAGCGCAAAAAATGTAAAAAAACCCCCAAAAAAACAAACAAACTCAATAAGTCATTAGAAACCTGCTTCGTCATCCTCCTCCTACCACTTCCTGTTGTCTTCTTGTTCGTTGATTCCGCCAGTAGTAACATCCTGTTGTTGGTCATGTGACTCATTTCCATTGCAGTTTTGCAGCCAAAGAACAACTTAGCACAATTTTAAAATTGCTTTATTTCCAATAATCTAACTTATTTTTAAATGTCAAATTTAACAATTATGTGGTTGATAGAAAAGTTACTCACAGAGGGTTGAGTATCCAGAAATTTTACTCAAGTAAGAGTAAAGATAATCCTAAAAGTAAATATTTTTAAAGTTAATGTAATTAGTTTCTACCCGTCTCTGAAGCAAATATCTCCAACGATTTCTGGCATTAAAAGTTTAGGGAAGTTTTTTTTCACCATCTAAATGTCAGCTTTAAATTAATGATTATAAATCAAATCTGTTATTATTATAAATTAATCACTGGGTTCGTACAATGTCAGCTAGCAGCGCAGAAAGCCTCAAAAGACAACAAACGTTTGTTTTAAGTTGTTTATTTTGTCAGACAATCTGATCATATCTGAAAGTTTCACTTTAATATACAAAAGCAGAGAGTTTGTGAATTATTTGTTTTAAAAAGTTGGAGCATTTCTCATTAAAACAAACTGCTGAATAGTTCAGGGTGTTTCTGCATCGCAGGAGAGTAAAAATGCGCTTTAATCATCAGTTTCCATCAGAGTATTTAAGAGAAAATGCCTGTAAATTCCAACATCAGAAGATTGAGAAGGAGCGTTGTGTGTAAATTAGATCACACCTGTCGGAGTGATGGAACAGGTGAATGATCAGGTCTGTATTAATTATGGATCAGGGACAAAAAGCGTCTTTTGGTTTTGACTCGGTGATGAATCGCCACGTCAGCAGGTTAAAACCCCTCGGGGTAAATGAGGCGTTTTAGTGGAGCAGAAAGTTTATTGGTTCATTTCAGCCTCTTCTGTCTTTAATTTGTTATAATTTAGAGGTTTTACATCAAAGCAGCGAAGCTTTTTGTAGCTAAATGCCGAAGTTTAATGACGATG